CGAGCCCGCAACCCGGGCATGTGCCCTTGACCGGAATCGAACCTGGGACCCTTCAGTCCATAGGCCGACGCTCTATCCACTGAGCCACACCGGCCCGGGCCTCCTGTTTAATTTTTAAATAGAAGCAATGAGAACCAACACCTCTGTCTTGTTCCTGGGGTGAGAGCCCCCCGTCGTTCACCGCCGCCTCAATGTGAGCCGTGGGTTTTCCTGGGTAGATGTCACTGGTCAGCTTGCGGAAGGGCACCTTCCGTTCCTCGCGGGCGGCCTGCGGTTGTCACGAAAGGGCACTTGTTGGTTCACTGTTCTTTTCCTGGGGCTAACGAGGCCCCCACGCTCGTTCTGTCCTTCTGGCCTATGGGCGGTGTGTTACCGGGGTTGGTGTTGATGTATGACACCCACGGTGTGTTCCTGCTCCGGCCTCAGGGATATTCTCACTGCCCTGCGGTGTCTCCCCAGGCCCTTTCCCTACATAACGGCGTCCTGTGTCATTTCCGAACGTGGGTGAATTTCCCCCCGTTGTGTCTCTGTTCGTCTCTACTTTCATTCCCGTGTGGTTGGAGAACATAAGTTTGGGTGGTTTCCATAATTTTAACTTTATTTGGGGTGTGTTCTGTGTGTCCTAGTACATGGCTCGTTCTGGGAGGTGCTCCCTTTGTCCTGAAGGAGAACGTGTGTTCTTGCTATTGGTCAGGGGTGATCTCTACAGAGACCTGTTAGTTGAATGAACATCTGAAAATAATGTAGATCGAGCCCCGCTGGCGTGGCTCAGTGGTTGAGCATCATCCCATGCACCAGGAGGTTGCCGGTTCGATTCCCGGTCAGGGCACATGCCTGGGTTGCAGGCTCAATCCCCAGTGTGGAGCGTGCAGGAGGCGGCCGATCCATGATTCTCCCTCATCATTGCTGTTTCTATCTCTCTCTGCCTCTCCTTTCCTCTCTTGAAAATCAATTTTTAAAAAGTGTATCTATTATTTTTAAAAAGATAAATAAATGTGTCTTTCCAGAGACCTGGATGGTCTCATTCTGGGGAACAGTGGACGGTGTGGTGGGCGGGTCTGGGCCTGGGAGCTGGTGAGACCCTGACCCCCCGTCTTGGGGGTCAACAACAGCTTGGCTCTCGGCGGGGAAAGAAATAAGACAGCAAGACAGCGCCTGTGTGCTGTGTCCACACAGCTGATGGCCAGGCCAGTGGCCTTTGCCCATCCATTTTTGGGGTGCCTGTGTGTTCAGGAAAATTCAGAGAGCAAGGAGACCCTAAGATTTTAGTACGTGAAGTGGTCAGAATGACAGGTTTGCCTGGGATGCTTTGTAAAACCCACATCTTCAGGTGTGCTCACACTTGCTCCGTGTGTTTAGATGGCTACCCCAAAGAAGAAATGATCTACAGGTGGAGGAAGAACTCCGTTGAGACGGCTAACCAGAAGTCCTGGCGGCTTTATCAGTTTGACTTCATGGGCCTCAGGAACACCACGGAAGTCCTGACCACATCTGCAGGTAGGAATAAACAGGAAAAGGTGTGGCTCTCGGAAAAAAAAAAGAAGAAAAAACCATGGAACCTGGCCGTGTGGCTCAGTGGTTGAGCGTCCAGCCATGAACCAGGTCACGGTTCGACTCCTGGTCAGGGCACATGCCCGGGTTGCGGGCTTGATCCCTAGTAGAGGGCGTGCAGGAGGCAGCTGATCAATGGTTCTCATTGAGGTTTCTCCCTCTCCCTTCCTCTTTGAAATCAATAACAAATATATTTTTTAAATCAATGGAAAAACTATCCTCAGGTAAGGACTAACACAACTATATATATATATATATA